GCAGCGATACGTCAGGCCGTGCAGCGATACGTCAGGCGGTGCGGCAATACGTCAGGCCGTGCAGCGATACGTCAGGCGGTGCGGCGATACGTCAGGCCGTGCAGCGATACGTCAGGCGGTGCGGCGATACGTCAGGCGGTGCGGCGATACGTCAGGCGGTGCGGCGATACGTCAGGCGGTGCGGCGATACGTCAGGCCGTGCGGCGATACGTCAGGCGGTGCGGCGATACGTCAGGCGGTGCGGCGATACGTCAGGCGGTGCGGCGATACGTCAGGCGGTGCGGCGATACGTCAGGCGGTGCGGCGATACGTCAGGCGGTGCGGCGATACGTCAGGCGGTGCGGCGATACGTCAGGCGGTGCGGCGATACGTCAGGCGGTGCGGCGATACGTCAGGCGGTGCGGCGATACGTCAGGCGGTGCGGCGATACGTCAGGCGGTGCGGCGATACGTCAGGCGGTGCGGCGATACGTCAGGCGGTGCGGCGATACGTCAGGCCGTGCGGCGATACGTCAGGCCGTGCGGCGATACGTCAGGCCGTGCGGCGATACGTCAGGCCGTGCGGCGATACGTCAGGCGGTGCGGCGATACGTCAGGCCGTGCGGCGATACGTCAGGCCGTGCGGCGATACGTCAGGCCGGTGCGGCGATACGTCAGGCGGTGCGGCGATACGTCAGGCGGTGCGGCGATACGTCAGGCCGTGCGGCGATACGTCAGGCGGTGCGGCGATACGTCAGGCCGTGCGGCGATACGTCAGGCCGTGCGGCGATACGTCAGGCCGTGCGGCGATACGTCAGGCCGGTGCGGCGATACGTCAGGCCGTGCGGCGATACGTCAGGCGGTGCGGCGATACGTCAGGCGGTGCGGCGATACGTCAGGCCGTGCGGCGATACGTCAGGCGGTGCGGCGATACGTCAGGCCGTGCGGCGATACGTCAGGCGGTGCGGCGATACGTCAGGCGGTGCGGCGATACGTCAGGCGGTGCGGCGATACGTCAGGCGGTGCGGCGATACGTCAGGCCGTGCGGCGATACGTCAGGCCGTGCGGCGATACGTCAGGCCGTGCGGCGATACGTCAGGCCGTGCGGCGATACGTCAGGCCGTGCGGCGATACGTCAGGCGGTGCGGCGATACGTCAGGCCGTGCGGCGATACGTCAGGCGGTGCGGCGATACGTCAGGCGGTGCGGCGATACGTCAGGCCGTGCGGCGATACGTCAGGCGGTGCGGCGATACGTCAGGCCGTGCGGCGATACGTCAGGCGGTGCGGCGATACGTCAGGCCGTGCGGCGATACGTCAGGCCGTGCGGCGATACGTCAGGCCGTGCGGCGATACGTCAGGCCGGTGCGGCGATACGTCAGGCCGTGCGGCGATACGTCAGGCCGTGCGGCGATACGTCAGGCGGTGCGGCGATACGTCAGGCCGTGCGGCGATACGTCAGGCGGTGCGGCGATACGTCAGGCCGTGCGGCGATACGTCAGGCGGTGCAGGCGATACGTCAGGCCGTGCGGCGATACGTCAGGCGGTGCGGCGATACGTCAGGCCGTGCAGCGATACGTCAGGCCGTGCGGCGATACGTCAGGCCGTGCGGCGATACGTCAGGCCGTGCGGCGATACGTCAGGCCGGTGCAGCGATACGTCAGGCCGTGCGGCGATACGTCAGGCGGTGCGGCGATACGTCAGGCCGGTGCGGCGATACGTCAGGCGGTGCGGCGATACGTCAGGCGGTGCGGCGATACGTCAGGCCGTGCGGCGATACGTCAGGCGGTGCGGCGATACGTCAGGCGGTGCGGCGATACGTCAGGCGGTGCGGCGATACGTCAGGCCGTGCGGCGATACGTCAGGCCGTGCGGCGATACGTCAGGCCGCGCGGCGATACGTCAGGCCGCGAGGCGATACGTCAGGCCGTGCGGCGATACGTCAGGCCGTGCGGCGATACGTCAGGCCGTGCGGCGATACGTCAGGCCGTGCGGCGATACGTCAGGCCGTGCGGCGATACCTCAGGCCGTGCAGCGATACGTTAGGCCGTGCGGCGATACGTCAGGCCGTGCGGCGATACGTCAGGCGGTGCGGCGATACGTCAGGCCGTGCGGCGATACGTCAGGCCGTGCGGCGATACGTCAGGCGGTGCGGCGATACGTCAGGCGGTGCGGCGATACGTCAGGCCGTGCGGCGATACGTCAGGCCGTGCGGCGATACGTCAGGCCGTGCGGCGATACGTCAGGCCGTGCGGCGATACGTCAGGCGGTGCGGCGATACGTCAGGCGGTGCGGCGATACGTCAGGCCGTGCGGCGATACGTCAGGCCGTGCGGCGATACGTCAGGCGGTGCGGCGATACGTCAGGCCGTGCGGCGATACGTCAGGCCGTGCGGCGATACGATATGGATATTTTTTTTACTTTTTAGGGAAGAAAAGAGGAGTTCAGATGAAACCTCAGTGTTTCATTGGCTCCTGTTCACTGAGCTCCTCCCTCCACCTCCTCAGCATCACTCAGCCTGATTATTACTCCGCCCTGTTGCTCAGCAGGTCTTGCTTTACTTGATATTTTAGAAATGTGATCTAGCTGCATTTTCACAACACAGAGAACATCTGGATGTTGGGTCTTCCAGATGTCACCCCCCCCAGCTGTCCATTCTGCAGCTGGGAGGACCAACCTGAACGTCCCATTGCTCCCCTTTAACACGCATCTAACAGCTGGAACAGGATTCCTACGAGCCTGAAGTTTCCAGACGCACTAATTGATCCATCAAGCCTGGAAGCTGGACGGCCAGCAGGACCCTGAAGGACACAGCTTCTTGCTCCTGAGATCATTTATTTAATTAAACGCCTCCTCATTATATGTGAAACTAACCCAAAGTTGAGGAAATCAGGTTGTCTGGTGAATGAATGAATGAATGAATGAATGAATGAATGAATGAATGAGTGAATCTTTGCTGTGGTCTTTGGTAAAACAGAAGCTCCTGTGAAGCAGGAAGCTCTCTGGTTTATGCTTCCTGTCACCTGCTGCAGAGTTTGACGCCTGAAGCTGCAGCCTCTGCAGGACTGCAGGCCAACCCTCTGAACTCTGAAGCTGATTGGCTGATTTCATGAAATAACTGGATGCTGAGTCATCATTTCTATCTTTAGACCTCAGCTCCTGTTTAGCTCAGATTGTTTGAGTTTGGTTCAAAGTTTTCCTGTTTTAGATGCATCTTTCAAAGGACCGTCTGACCTTTAGTCCTTTTTAACGAGTCGTCCTGCATCACTGCTGCTGAATCTTCTCTCCTCTGATCCCAAAGCTTTGCTGAGTCAGTGAAGGTTTCCTGATGTTAGGAGGAGTTTATCTTACGGCTGTTGCCATGACGCTGAGTGAAAGCAGTTGCTGTAAAGTATAACCCCCCCCCCCCCCCCCCCCCCCCCCGAGGTTGTGTTTGCTCTGATTTGGTGCAACTTTATTCCAATAACAGACGTTACAGTTTTCAACGTCTTTTCAATGATCTGATAGTTTCATCTTTTCTCCGTTCACTTTTCATCCAGACTCAGACGTCGTTTAGACATAAACCATCTCGTCTTTTCAACCAATTTTTACTCGGTGGGATTAAAGCGACTGGATGAATTCCTTGGATAGAAAACGTATTTTTTTCCAGCTGGTTTAATGAACAGTTTACTGTAATTAAGCTGGAATTCATGAACCTTAGGCTGAATCTCTGTTTACGATTAGACTGAACTGGAAACTCTTAGTGATGGTTTATCTCTTAAAGCACGACCTCCTCTGCTCTGCTTCTATTGGACGGCAGAGCCGCGTTTCATGCAGTCCACCATTACTGCAGATTGTTTTACTCTAGTTTAACAACATTTGACTGAAGTTTGATTTTCAACCATCTCTATCTGTGCAGCGCCCTCTAGCGCCTCCTGGTGTTTGGGTTGGTCTTTCTTTGCTGCTTCCTTTCCTGTTGTCTCCTCATAAGGAGGATGTGATGGATAGACTCCAGGGCCTCTGATTATTCATGTTTCTACATTCGACAACAAAACTCCACCCTCCTATCATGTCTTTATCTTGAAAATAGGGTTGGGAATTGAAAAGATTTTCACGATTCCGATTCCCTTTTCGATTCTATGAAACGATTCGATTCTTAATCGATTCTTTTTTCGATTCCAATTTGGGGGAAAAAGGAGAACAAACAGTTTGATTATCAGAATCAACTTTGTTTACTTAACTATTGCACAATCTTACAAACTCAAAAAGATCAAGATGTCCACAGGAAATGTGAAACTGGAGTAACATCTGTGTTTAAATGAAAAATGAATACAAGAACAAACTTAATAACCAACAATGTCTAATAACAAATGATGGGATAATAACCTATTTTAAATAACAAAAAATACTAATTATAAAACAGTAGTAGGGAAAATTAACAGTTATTTTGCAGAAAGATGAGCATATCTGCTTTTTCTGGAAGGATACAGGATCTTTCAGCGCTTATGGTGTCTCCAGCCGTGGAGAACACCCTCTCAGATGGGGTGGAGGAAGCCTGCACACAGAGGTAGTTTTCAGCCAGTCCAGATAGCAAGGGCAGCGTATCTTGCTTGTTCCACCACCACAGTGTGGCGCTATCCCTGCAGGGGATGGAGGGCAAGCTTTTACAGAGCTGGATTTCCTGATCTACCCTCTGGGCTAAGGAAAGACGGGGCTTTGATTCAAAAAGTGACCGCAGCTCGCTGTCTTCCTCCTCGAATAGTTATTTCCAAATTGCGTAACTTGCGTAACTTGCGTAACTTACGTAACGTACGTAAAAAACGTGACGTAAGTCGTGCTCCCCAGAGCCGGCGCTCTAGGCTCTGGTGCTGCGGGAATCGAAAAAAGAATCGTTCAGCGAGCTGCCAAACGATGCCATGGAATCGGAAAATACGGAACCGGTTCTGAACAGGAACCGGTTTTCGATTCCCATCCCTACTTGAAAATAAAACAAAAGTAGTTTTTTCAGACTGCTGACTGATTTTTCCTTCTCCTTCATTCCACCAGGTGCGATATTTGAAGAGAACGCGGTGCGAGACGATGAGGTGTTTCAGCTGGCCGTGTCAGACCTCAGTCTGAGCGACGACATCCTCCACAGCGAGAAGATCACTCATTCCATCAAACTCATTGAGCCCAACAACCCTTTCCAGGCGGTGCAGGAAGGTAGGTCCATCTGCAGTGTGGATGTTTGGCTCCTGGTTGTTGGTCTGAGATGATGCTGGATGGTTCTCCTCTTTATTCTGCTCATCACAGCAGACACTTGAAACTGATTTGTTCTGCAGAGAAGCAGAAGATGTTGGTGACAAACAGATACTTGTGCTGCTGTGGATGGAGATGCTGCTGAATGTGCTGATTACGCTGTGAATGTTGAAGTGATTGCAGCACTTTACAGGAAGCTGGAGTGTTTGTTTGCATTAGAGGAAAGCGATGCTGCTGCTTTCACTGGTTTTCTTCCTGCAGTTTTTGTTTGTTAAGAAAAACTTTCTGTTCCAGAAGCGCCTTCTCTGCTAAAGGTAAACATGTTTTCATAGGATAGATGATGCATAAACATAACTGTCAGAAACTTAATCCCACAACCCGCTGGCTCTGACCTCCAGGAGTTCAGAGACTTGGAGATGTTGAGGAGCTTCACCGGTTCGGCTCGTTGCAGCCAAGTTCTTTAAATGTTTTCTTTAAAGCGTAAAGGCTGACGCCCGAGGCGCTGCTGCAGTTTTACATCCTGCTCTTCAAAGAATCCAACAGGAAGCATGTCTGTGGTCCCACAGGATGCCTGACCTTAAGAAGCTGTAGCCTTCGGATCAGAGATGAAGGGATCAGTTGGTGGTTCTGGACAGGAGCTGAAGGATCCATGAAGTTTACATCTTCCTTAAATGGTCAACTAGACTCCATAGTTGGTGGGTCTGTGTTGAGGGGGGGGTGGGGGTGAAACTGATGTTATTTTTCCTTCTGATCCTTAGATTTGACCCACATTTGACTCTGCAGACTAGAACAGGACATTATTACTGCTCAGGTGGACTGAAGCTCGCAGCGTTTCCTCGTTTCTCAGTGTGAATCAACCAGGGGTTAATCAGCTGATGGCTCTGTCGGCTGCTGAACCGTACCCCCACCCCCCCTGTTGCTGGTTTAGCATCAGATGTGACTGATTACCACATTGAGGTGAATCCAGACAGAGGAGGACACCAGAGATGCTGCCCTCCATCACTATATTAAGCTGCATTAGCAGGAAGCCAGAGGTTGTCCCTACGGCTGCTGCTGAATCCGCTTGCATGAGAAATGTGTTTGTTAGAGATGCTTTTCTTTTAATAAGGGGGACAGTTGGTTGGAAGATTTAATTTCTCTTATTTCATATATTCATTTATGCTATTTACTCACTGAAAAAAAGTTTTTTTCACTCAGTTTCACCTGTAAGGCCACAAAATACCTGAGTAATAATGATTGTAGAGCAGAAATAGCTTCTTCCAGAACAAACCAGATTCTTTCTCAGGTTTATTCATAACATTTTACTGTTTAACCAAAGTGTCTGTAATTAGTTTTGACTCTGACTATTTTCCATTATTGTAAATAAGGAGGAACGAACGCTGCTCAGTCAGAACAGGGCTGATTATTAGGGCCCATTAGGGCCGCATGATGAACTGTTCTCTCTTTTCAAAGATAAAATAAAGATCCGACTGAGTGAAATCCATCGATCTCTGTTTATTAAACTGGAGTAAATAGTTGAATACTTTTTTCTCACTACCAGAGATGGGAAGTAACAAAGTACAAATACTTCGTTACTGTACTCAAGTAGATTTTTCTGATATTTTTACCTTACTTTACTACTTATTTTTATGGCGACTTTTTACTTCTTCTCCTTACATTTTTACACAAATATCTGTACTTTCTACTCCTTACATTTTTTAAAATTGGCTCGTTACTTTAGTTTTGAATCATTTCAATGGAGTTACCGTTATTATTTTTCACGTCATCAATACCAAATTCAATCTAATTGGATGGGAATCTACGTTGCATTTGACGCACCGCTACAAGATGAATCGACAGATTCGGCGGTATTCATTCACGGCAAATCATTGCAGCTTGGTGGCGGTGGCGTTAGCATAGTAGCATGGACGACGAGATGATTGAAAATGAACACAACGGAGATCTAGTCCTATTGGCAGACATCCATTTAAAATGTAGGCAACGGCATGAAAAAAGTGGTTTCTACTTTTACTTTTATACTTTAAGTAAATTTACAAGCCTGTACTTTGTTACTTTTACTTGAGTAAAGAAGTTTAATCAGTACTTCCACTTTTACCAGAGTATTTTTGAACACAAGTATCTGTACTTTTACTCAAGTACGGAAAGTGAGTACTTTTGCCATCTCTGCTCACTACACAGTATATTAGTATGAATGTGAATTAACAGCAAACTGAGAGGCAGATGGACGCACACAGACTAGACACTGACATTTTTTCGGGAATCCCACGGGTCATGGGATTCCCGTGGGATGGGAGTCAGTATTAGTAATGATCACGTGATTGGGACGGCACAGGATTAAACATTAACGGGAGCAGACAGGAGCGGGAGCAAACCAATAATAACAAAAAAAAAACAAACTAGGATCGATGCCATAAAATAAAATAGAAAGAAAAAAAAATCCAGTACTGGTGCCGCCATTTTGTAGTTTTTTTCCTTGAAGCCTACACTATAATGAGAGTCAAAAAAACTACACAACCCAAAAACCAACAGTGCTTCCGCTCTGAGTTTTTCACCCGCGCTCAAAAGAAATTCAGATTCAATGTATTGGCAGAAATCTTATTGAAGACAACCAGAATGGGAGGGGTGCAGGAGCGGGAGTCATTCTGAATGGGAGTGGGAGTAATTTCACCAGGAGTGGGACGGGACAGGATTTAGTTTTCTACTCTGGCCCGGGATCGGGACGGGACACAATTTTTTTCTGTGGGAGTGGGACGGGACAGGAGTGAAAATCCACTCCCGTGTCAGTCTCTAATACAGACACACTGAGGGTGATTACACACTAACTGAAGCTCTGAATGAAACTATACTTCTATAAAAGGTATAAACATTTATACTGAGAGTCATTTGTTCTATTTACCCAAACAGGAAGGCGACTTGATTCTATAACTTTGCACCTTGGGCTGAGTTTTCCTCCACTGGTTAACTTTACTCTAATCCAAATGGTTCAATGTTTTTGTTTTGAAATGGAAACATGTAGAAAACTGTTCTTTTAAAGACGTGTATGATAGAAAAGTGCACCTAGAAAACCCTTCAGTAGCCATCTGGCTGCATGTTTTCCCCTCATTATCTCTGCTAATTTAAACTGATTAATTAGCTGGCGTTAGCGCGCACATTTAGCTGGTTTTAAAACCAGTGGGATTGTTGTCCTGTTGGGGCATCTTTCACCTGGTTTGGAGGTATTGATGCCAACCACTTTGGTACCATCGCCAGCTACACAGACCCACAGAATGACACAGCCACTTCTATGCTAGACAGCTGGTTCACGGTTCTAAAGTTTGAAAGCTTCATCTTGATTTTTTTCTAGAAAGTTGTATTTTGGTCCAAGCATCTGAGCCGTTGCTACGTCAGCCCTGTTCTCCACACGCTTGTTCTCGTGTGCAGCGTTAAGAGGCAGCACCTCTTGTCAGTGTTAACCTGTAGACGCTCGCACCAGTATTCCACAAGTTTCCAGTTCATGGCAGAGCTGAACCTTGCTGTTTAACTGGAAGGAAGGAAATAATGAACTCAGTTCTGCCAAGAACAGCGGTCAGATATAGAAAACATGATGCCTGCAGCTGCAGCTTGATGCAGACGCTGCTGGTGCTGCATGTTTATGTTGACTTTGACCTAAGATTTAGACAATCTTTGTTGTGCCATATGCACATTGGGACATGATGACCAGAGAAGAGGACGCAGCTTTGGTCAAAGCAGTCGCAGGCAAGCCACAGAGGTGTGACTTCCCAGCCCCCTCTGTGTGAGGACAGTAGAAAATCTCTTTCCTCCTCTTTCCCTGCTCTCTGGGGAAGCTGCGGTCCGCTTGGGCTGGACGGAGATGGAGATCCAAGGCCCAGAGGGGACCCAGATCTCCAGAATCATCAAGGATGAGTCAGAACCTTTCAGAACCAAACTGCTGCAAAACAGACCTTTTGCAACATTTGCAATTTCTCTTGAGTTTTAGAACTTATAGAGCCAGACTGGATGAGAAGGCCTGCCTTGATGAGCCACTGACACAGAGAGAGAGCCGGCCTTACTGTTAGCTGCCTGCTAAGCTGCTGGATGAAACTCAAGCCTTTCAAAAGGACATGGACAGAGGTTTGCAGGTCTGGCTTGATTAGGGACAGAACAAACAATTTGCCTTTTGATGATGTTGATCATTTCATGTGTTCACTGATGATTAAGAGCAAAGCTAACAGGATGGACTGCATGCTACGCTACGCTACAGGAATATGTGTTGATCTGTTGCTGAAGCTTAGACCAGCTTTATTCACTAAGGGTTAAACACTGATATAACATTAGTGTTCATGTGTTCCTCAGATGCTCGTTACATTTCCATTACCAAGTCTGACCAAGAGTCATTTAGTGGAATCCTGATGTCTATTCGCTGCTGGCTATTTCAAAGAGGGTAAGAATCATTTAACTAAAGGTTATTGGTTCTTGATTAAACAAATCATTCAATAAAACATTAATAATGTTTTATTCACCTCATGGATCTGCATTGTGAATTGGTCTGAAAACATTCCAGTTTCTCTAAATTAGTGAAAAGCTAATTTGATCAGATCCCAAATTATTCCAGATAAACAAAAATCCATCTTAAACTGTAACATGTTTTTCAACCGTTTTCCCCTTTCTCTTTGTACATAGTAGTTTAGTTTAGTTTAGTTTAGTTGAGTTTAACTAGTTTTAGTTAAGCATTTTTAATTGAAATATTTGTTTGACTTGGAGCTGAATGATTTTTGTTAATAAACTCTTATATTTTGAACAGAAGTTGTGGTGAATTTATTCCATATATGTGAAGAATTAACAGTTTGACCATGATTAGTGCTCGAATCACTCTTTCATCCATTGTTCTAACACACAGTTAGTAGGACTGGGTGTTCATAAAGAGTATATAACAGCTGAAATAATATCTGATTAAATAAGATAATAATATAAACTATATGTAAACT